ACAGTGTAGCTCTGCAATGTAGATAGTCAATTCTGTTAAGTATCCAGAGAGGAAATGACAGGGATGCAGGAATAGTGGGAGACCTTACCACACCTCCCTCAGTCTTTGACAGATTAAGTAGGTGAAGAATGAATTAGGATGTAGGGGGACTGAATAATATGTTTCATGTGTCTGACTTAATAGATAGATGTCAAGTTTGTACTGTATGAAATAAAAATACACAATGTCTCTAACTGCCTATAAAGCATTCATGAGAACCGATTTTATAGTAGCCCACAAAGGAAATCCCAGTAATATCCAAAAAGTACAATTTGGACAGGCTCTGTTCTCTGACCACATTACAATAAAACAAAATTAATGGCAAAAGTTCAAACCAGCAACCCCAAACACTTTGAAATTTAACAGCACTCTACTAAATAATGCTTAGGTCAATGAGAAACCAAGGCTGCAATTACAGATCATTTAGGTCCCAGCAACAGGAAGAACACTGCGTGCTAACACTTATGAGTTAGTGCCAGAGATAAGTCCAGTGCTGAAGACCTGAGATTATTAACTGAAGAGACAGAAGATAAATGGGCTGAAGAGTCAAGCCCAGAAATTAGAAAATGATAATAAACCAAACCAAAGACAGTGAAGAAGCAGGAATAAGCAAATCCCAAAGCATAAAATGATAATTTTGAAGGTTGAAAAAATATGCTGTCAGTGAGATGGGTCTTTCTACATGAGTGATAATATGAATAAATTGCTAAACCAAAAATATCATGGTAAACCCCCCATGTGAGAAAAGGGGTGTGTCTTCATCAACAGAAGCTTTTTGAGACTTCTATAGTTTTAAGATAATGGACTTTAAAATGTCCAATAGATACTTTATTATTTTTATGTTGTGAGTATGAATGTTTTGTCTGTGTGTTATCTATGTGAATTGTGTGTGTGTGTGTGTGTGTGTGTGTGTGTGTGTGTGTGTGTGGTGCCTCCATGGGCCAAAAGATGACACTGAATCCCCTAGAACCAGTCAGGCAGTTTTGAGCTACCATGTAGGTTCCGGGAATGCTGCATTTGTCTTCTGCAAGAGTAGCAAGTGTTCTTAACTTCTGAGCTATCTCAGTATTGATATTTTAAAGAAAAATTTAAACTGCAAATTTAACTTAGAGTAAGAAAACTAGAATGAATGGATGAATGAATGTGTGAGTCTGTGAAGACTATATTCCCAAGTATGAGAAGGCAGCACACACACCAGTCAGGATTTATGGGTTCATGCCAGCACCAGACTCAGCTCCTGGCTATAGACCCTCAAACAACCTTTTCCAACCTCAATTGCCTGATTTCTAAATTGGTGATGACAGTGGTATGGACCTTATGAAGTTGTCAATGAAATAACAAAAGCGAAACCTCCAGCACTTGATAAAGAAGGACTCTGTATCCACAGAGACACAAAAGACACACATAGTGATATACACTCTGAGACACACAGGATACTATTGCACTCCTCCAGACAGTCCAAGTAACCAATATGTCAAATCTCAGTGAGTAATTCAGAAGCATAGATAGTGAAACAGCAATAGATAAAGATTGCACCACTTTGCTTTGCAAAATCATGATTTTAATACAAAACCTTAACAGTGTTAGCACAGAAAATCCAAATTCTTTATGAGCATATCTGTATACATATATAAGTTAAATATGAGTAAATGAAATCCAGAGTTGTAATAAAAATAAAATACAAGACTCAAATAAGAAATGTCCTGGGAGGAGATGAATGTTTCAGCATTAGAAAATCTACCATCTTCTTTGGCACATTGGAAGGAAATTGACAATGTGTTGACCCAGAAATGTAGTTATTAGCCTAAGGAAATAACACTCAGCCAAAGACTGTGCTCAAGGTTATCTGAGGTAATGTTATTAAAGTCTTAAGCAATCCAAATACCCAAACTGGAGGAATTCTCAAATATACTTAGGTTACACTGTGCTTAAACAAATAGACTATGCTTATGTGACATATAGAAATAAAAGATAGACTATCCATCCTATAGGCAGAACCTTGGTGAAATCATTAAAAGAATGTTTCAATGATTATTTAAAAATGTAAAAATATATCCATGATGTTATTCATTAAACATAAAAATTAAAATAGTATGTACAGTGAACAGAGGTTGTACACTTTAATATCTGCATTCATGTGTATATACTATTATATACATAAAAATCACATAAATACACAAACATGTAAATATGAATATTGGCCTGCTTCCTTGCTTTTGCTGATGTAGAAATATCACAATGTGTAGTTGTCTACAGTTTTCATTTTGCACAAATGTGAAGATGAAATCACCATCATGTTTTGGTTCTTTTTAAGCAGGTTAATCTGCATGAAAATTCACACACACACACACACACACACACAATTATCCGTTATGATGTTGTTTAAGTGTGTGTGTGAGAGAGAGAGACAGAGACAGAGAGTATGCATAGTCCTTTATGAAGCAAGGAAATTAAGAGGGAATAGAACAAAATGTCACAGTGATTATTATAGGGGAGTTGTAATTTCCATGTCTGTACTTCATTTGAAATACTATTCCTTAATGCCAGCAAATAAAATAATGCCGAATGTTAGAAAAAAAAATGCTTTCAGTGAATCTCAAACAAGGAGCAAAACACCACACATATCATACACTTACCTGGTTATGACTTCATCTTTTAAAGATGCAGTAGAGATTACAGTACAGATACCTGGGAACTTTCATATGCTGTCCAGATATGACAAACTAATAGTATATATTCATTAAACTCCACTCCCTAGTCAAGATCATTTTAAGGATTAGTCAAGAAAAATATTGCTTGTGAGAACAAATGAAACTAGAGGACATTATGTTAAGTGAAATATGTCAGCAGAGAAAGACAGATTATAGCATAATCTCCTTGCGTGTGGATGCCAAAATATTTGATCTCAGGGTTGAATAGTGATTTCTAGAAGCTGGAAAGTATGTGGAGGAATGAGACAAGAGAGAAGTTGGTTAAATTCTAGGGCTTCACATCATGGATTTGGGGGTAGCAAAAGCTGTTTGCAATGCCTAGTCTGTATTCCATGACTGGAAAGAAGAAATAAGCTTAAAGCTTTCAAATATAAAATAATGACATGATCATGTTAATTACCCTGGTTTGACCAACTCACAGTGTACATGTGTCTTTCAATAGTATGTTGTACACCCAACTAAGTGCAATAAGTAAAATCACAGAAAGAATTTAAAATGAAACAAAACAAAACACTAGTTTAACACGGGTCATGGAGTGTAACTGGTTACAAGAATTGATTCCCTAGATGGCAGGTGTCTAGCACTCTTTCCTGCTATCACTGGGCTCTGAAATGGAAGATTCAAAATGTTACCAGTAACTGCCATTCCATCCATTCAACCTGTGGACTCTATCGTTTTAAATCTTGCTACATTGTTTTAAAATGGGAAAACAAACCATTTTGTTTTAAACACAGAACCTCTCCCCAATACAGATTCTCTCTTCCCTTTCTCTCCTCCCTGACTCAACTCTCCTTCCCCCTTCTCATAGTCATCTCTCTCCTCTCTTTTTATCCCCCTTTTCTCTACTGTATGAAGTGGAATTTTCTCTTATTGCTTAAAACCAGGTCTGAGGCAGAATTGATTCCATCATGGAGTCAGCTGCCCTCCTTGACTGGATGTTCTGCTGGCCTAGATGAAGGATCCAGTTTTAACAAAGGAAACAAGCCATCACTCACCCACTCTAGAATTCTGTGTTTGGAAGAAAGAGGATATTTTTTTGTAGAAATGGTGAAATCTTAATTAAAAAAAAAAGACTTGTGACTGAATTCAGGAGGTTATTATGGAAGAAGACTTTATGTTTCATTGGCTATGGGGGATGAAAGCAGAGAATTGCCAAAATGACTAATGTTTGGGATTCTAGCCTCATGGGGCATCAGTGTCATGGGCCAGAGCTTGACCATTGGAGAATAAAATGGAAACGTCATTTTGTAAAGGTCAAGGATTTCAAGGGGATGAAAGGGGTCCATATGTGGTTTAAGATCTAATATTCAGGCTGCATGTGATTTGGAAGTGAGCCTTTTAGGCAAGAAGTGAAGTTATGAACCAGAGCCCAACTGTTCATGAAGCCAATGACATCTGGGTCCAACAAAGCCCTAATACTTAGGAGAAAGAGGGACTAGAGTGTGAGACCATGGGCTGGGGAGTCATTTTCAATAAGAAGCACAGGGATGGAGATAATATCCCAGCCCTGCAAAAATAGAAGAGCTATGACTTATAATCCAAGGAACAAAGAGCAAAGATCTCATGTCTTTTTTCCCCTTGTTTTGGCTAAAATCAGATACATGTACCAATGAAAAGCAAGAATATAATGTTGTGTTAAAGTAATAACACAGTGTTGGAATATACTTTAGAGGCAAGCCAAATCTTCATTTAAACCACTTTAGAAATCTTTGGAATGGCATGAACTCGGAGCATTGGCAGGCTGGCTCTATTGATTTTATCGTTCATTCAATCTAAGTGGGCTTCTGTGTTATGAATAGAGAGAATGTTTTCGAACTATTGGGCTGAGTCAGTTAGCCAAGAATCCAGGACTTCTGATCTCAGAGAGTGAACAGTGCCTGATCTGGATCTCAGGTGTTGTCAGACCTGGATATATAAAAAAGAATAATCCACTTCTCCTTTGTAGTAGGTTCTTTCTTCCATATTTATCCTAGCAGCCTCTATGGCTAGTCAGCCAGATCCAAGGATGGGGGTCGTGGGGCATGGTCACCACAGTGACCAAAATAGGTTGATATAGTTGGAAAGAGACAGCAACAGCAGGAAGTTTGTTGTTTGTTTGTTTGAGCCTAGTATATTATTGCAAACTTTTCTGAGAAAGGCTTCCTTTGAGTCAGATAAAAACTGTAGAGATGAGTAAAGAGAAGTGCTGTCATGTTAGAGAGCCAACAGAATGCCTGACTTTTTAAAAACTGTCTTTTCTGTGACTTTCAGGTGATCGTCAGTATAACCATCCGATTTTAAGCAGTGCTACCCAGACCCCTACACATGGTGAGAGCTGATTGATAACACTCTGCATCCCATCTGCATGCCAAGTGGCTCCTTTCCAAGGATGGGAGAAGTTGGAGCCATGTGTCTGCCTCCCCCAGGCCACACAGCTTCACTCTTCCTTTGAGAACACTGTTCCCTGAATATTGTGTCTTTGACATAAGAATGATGTTTCTGCCATAAAAGAGAAGGGAGACCCTTCCTCAACTCATTCAATATTTGTAATCTCCACCGCTTCTTGTAGCCACAGATTATATACATCAATAGCAAGGAGATTAATGTTCTATTTTGCTTAAAGCCTTTAGATATCACTGACAAGCGAAACAAGACCTAGTTGAACCATCTTGATCCTCCCCAAACTAATTAATATTTGACAAAACTCAAGATTGATTTGAGCTTTACCCTCTTGGCAGAGAAAAGGCTGATGGTTGCCCAGCAGAGGGCTGTTAGCAAAAGGACAATGAGTGATACGACCACCTTTACCTGTCAGGTTCTAATGTCCTCCCAGAAGACCAGAACTTATCATTTGGATCTCCAGATTAAAAAAAAATTTAGAATCTCTCTCAAAACTTAATAGAATATATGACAGCCCTGGAAACTGTGATCTCTCAGTCATGCTTGTCTCTTCACTATAAAAGTTTCAGTAATTAAATAATAATGATCAATAGGAGTTTCTTGAGAGATACACTCAAAACAAAGATCAATCCAAAGCCAGGTCTGATGATGTAGGCTTACAATCGTAGCTAATAAGGAACAGGAGGCAGGAGGATTGTCCGTTTCAAAGCATGTTTGAGCTAGAGAATCAGTTCAAGGGCAAACTGAGAAACTGGGAAAGCTAGATCAGTGGTAGCATATTTGCCTAGCATGCACAAGGTCCTGTGTTTATCCCTCATACAGCACCTAACAGAGGGATAACCATTCTCAAGCAATATTATATAGCATCTTAGCACTGAGGCTAGAGCACATCTAAATTAGGAACAGGAATAGGGTATTGTGACATGCTTTTTCAGTGCTACAGGCTAGAGGACACCTGTTATATGAGGGTAGGAGCATAATTAGAAGCTTCTGGTTGTAGGGTATAAGAAAAACAGATCAGTTCTAAGATGTTGATGCCAGTTGTAACGCTGATTGTCGGACAATAAGGAAGATTGAGATCAGGAACATCTTAAGGTAAGAATTGAGGTGGTTTTGTCACTCAAAATTTGTATCTCAATGAGAACCAATGACATGGAGAGCTGAGGTTTGGCAATGGATACCATCTAACGGAGAAGAAAAATAGCCAGCGAGCAGGAATTGGTGATAGCGAATTTGAGTCTGAATTTATAGAATAGGCTATGACTGTAGAAGATGCAAGAAAGAAATGTTCCATAGGTACTTTGAGGTTGGAGGTGAAGATGTTTTCATTAATCTTTGAAGGAAGTAACAGAAGGCTTCAAAGTGGGGACTCTCTGTGCAAGAATTCTGGGGGGGGGGGGAATAGAAGGCAGAGGTAGAGAGTCTGAGAGATGCTATGGGGATTAGTGAGTGGGAAGAAGAGCCAGAAAAGGCAGAAAGGAAAGCTTCCACTTGTTCAATAACATTCTGGAATGAACAGCTCCTGAGATGAGCCTCCTCAGGAAGAGCCAACACAGACATAGAGTACAAACAGAAGGGCTGTTCCCTTCTCCACCTCTTCCTGTCTTCTTTCTTCCAGCTGGTATGAGGAAATGGGGATAAATGGGGCCCCAGTGTCAGTTCTTGAGCAGCTTGCAGAATATTTGAAGTAGAGCTTGCCTGCATTCTTTTCTTGGATGGTACTCTTTCCCCCCAACACCAGAGAATAATTAGAACTACTAGGAAGCAGGAAAGACCTGCATCTAATTGATCAACACAAAAGCATTAACTAGATCCTTAGTTTGAGCCATGCTATTGGAGGCAAACAGGAAAATTAGAAAACATGTCTACTTGATGCAAAGAGTTCTGAAGCATTTGGGATGACCAAAATTAAGTCATGCCAAATCAGTAGAGATCACTGAGTGAACGGGGATGGCAGGTAGAAGACCAAATATCATTAAGGATTGACAAAATGTAACAACATCACAGTCACAAGCCTTTAGTTAAAAAAGAACGTGATCAGGGAAGGAAAAATAAAGCATGGCATCTCAATCAAAAACAAGATTGACCAAGGGGGGCTTAGGCAACCACAGTCAGGATAAAAGGCAAAATGTTCTTGGCTCAGTTGTAATTTCAGAATAAGTGGTAGATGACAGTATATAAACCTACTGCATTTGGAAGAGGGAGAACTGAGCAATGACCTCAGTGGCAGTAAGATGCCAAGACTCAGGAGGAACCCTGTTCTTCTCCAGAATGGTGAGAAGTGAAGAAACAAGAAGTAATGGATTAGTGGCTATTAAGCACGTCTAGGGAGCAGCACTCTCAGCTTCATGCCCACTCCACTTCCTGGCATCTGTCCTGGTCCATGCCAGGGAGGCTCTTTCTGTACAGCATGTTCTGATCTCTTGGGATACAGAGCATCCCTCACCCCCTCACATATGTACGAAGCTGGCACAAACACCAGCTTATTGGCTGAAATCCCCTGGCTCCATCCCCAGTTCTGGGGGTGACAATGCAGGCAGGGAAGGAGAGAGAAGCCAGGAGTTCCCATGCCTGGGGCAATCCTTGGATATAGCCTAGGAAGGTGACTATCTCTCCCAGGGACAACAGGATTCTTGCATTCTGTAATGCAATACTCTCTGCCAAGAGGTGTAGGAAATCACAATCCATCTATAGATTGATCCTAACTTGGGGCCTGCCTCTTCTCAGAGGACCTATGGCTTTGAGGAGTTCCAAACAAAGAGGATGGATAGATGGTACAGCCAGACTGCTGTTTCCCTACTCATTTCTGGGAATGGTATTCCTATCTCCCTGGAAACCAACTGTTGACTTCTTTTTTATGGTTCCTCCTCCTCATGTCAATCAAGCATGGAGGCATTTTGTGTTCTTCCCCTGAACCTCCATCACCTTCAGATCCCGATGCTCAGTGCTCCCTTACCCATCCTTTACTCCTGTCTTGTGTTTATTCTTAATCTTTCATCCAGAGCCCACTCACCCTCAGTATACTATCCTCATTTATCCACTCTGGTAACCATTAGTCATCTCTATTCCTTTCTTGACTTCCCCTGGGCCTAGCAATGAACCATACTCTGCTGCATGTCTGCTGACTTTGGAATCTTAGGGTCTATCTCAGGGAAAGTGGGAGAAAAAAAGAAGATCTGATAGGCAGGTTTTGCTCAAGTTTCTCCTTCTGAGACCTTAGACATTCCTAAGGCAACATCTGAGAAAGGGCTTCAAGTAAGTAAGCTGTGTAGCTCACAGAAGCTTGCCAACCATGGAGCACAGCGAGGCCTAAGGGAGCTGCCTGAGAGGTGCATAGCACCATGGATTGAGTGTGACTTGCAGCTGCAATGGAGAAGGGTCCTGTATCCAGCCTCTCTGTGATCATTACAGCTGCTCTAAAGTTGGACTAGCCTAATACCAGATCAGCCTACAGCTATTAGGATGAGACAGTACATTCATGTAGACATGGGTGGCTTTATTTCTTTGTTGTTGGATTTTTTGTTTGGTTTGGTTTTGAGACAGGGTTTCTCAGTGTAGTCCTGGCTGTCCTGGAACTCACTCTGTAGACCAGGCTGGGTCTCAAACACAGAGATCCATTTTTAAAGATTTGCTTTTTTTCTTTTTCCTTCCTTTGTTCCTTCTTTTATTTCTTTTTTCTATTTTGACATTGATAATATTATGATGCTTGTCTTAGTTAGGGTTTCTATTGCTGTGATAAAACACCAAAACCCCCACAAACTAAAAAACTTGGGAGGAAGTGTTTACTTAGCTTACACTTCCCTATCACAGCCCCTCATTGAAGGAAGTCAGGACAGGAAATAGAGGAAGAACCTGGAGCAAGAATTGAAAAGAAGCCATAGAGGAGTGCTGCTTACTGGCTTGCTCATCCTGCTTTCCTAACCATGTAGGATGAAGGTTCAAAGGGGGGCACTGCTCCCAGTGAGACAGACCCTCCCACATCAATCATTAATCAATAAAATGATCTCACAGATTCACCTATGGGCAATCTAACGGGAGCATCTTCTCAGCTGCAGTTCCTCTTCCCATATGACTCTAGCTTGTGTCAAGTGGCCAAAAAGCTAGCTAGGACAATGCTCCTTCATTGCACCTGGTTCAGTTTTATCAGACAGACAAGTGATGTATCTGGAGGAAGAAACTGTTTCTGAATGTCCCAATTGAGTCTTCAAGAACTGATCAATATAGCTAGAGGCAGCTAAGACAATGCCTTCCCCAGGGATCGAAGGAGGGGGAAACTGAGTCACAGCCCTCCCTACTGAATCCTAGCATCGGAAAGCAGGATGAGGACTCTAGTCAGAGATGGAGCAGAAAGATGCATACTGCCATACTGCCTTTATGTTCCCTAATGCCATGCTCTTGCTTTTCAGAGAAGCCACGGATGAATAACATTCTGACATCAGCCACGGAACCCTATGACCTCTCCTTCTCACGCTCTTACCAGAACTTAGCCCACTTGCCTCCATCATATGAATCTGCAGTGAAGACCAATCCAAGCAAGTACTCATCTCTGAAGAGGCTGAGTAAGTCAAGGCTGGCTGGAGGGTTGTTCTGTCTCAAGGGTCTCCAGGTTATTCTCTTCCACGTCCCTCTCTTATTGAATATCCAAGGGACTAAGTATAGACTCACAAGAGCAAAGAAGTGAGTTGTACAGAGGAGGAGGAGAATAAACAGAAGCCTTCCTTTTGTTCTGTTGGTCCTAAGCCCACCCTTTTCCGAGTTTAGAATGATGCTGTAGGGCCCTAAGGCCGCTTTATCTATCTCTATAAGCTGCACTTGCCGTTCATGTATCAGCTCGCCAGGGGTTCTCTTCCAACTACAGGCCTTCTGGTGTGCCATCCTGTAATAGAGGTGGCAAGGTCCCAAAGAACCATTCTATCCAAGCCAAGACTATCCCAAGGATCTAAATCTCCACACTGCTCGTGCACATACTTTCATTATCACTTAAGTCTCCTCTATCCAGGGACTCACCTCCGCTATTGGAGTCTGAAATGGGTGTGGCAATGGTGGATTTAACCCAATAAATGTCAGAAAGTACATTTAGGGATATTTATCTTTACTGACCTGATCTCTCTCTGTGTAACCTGCTCTTCTCATTTTCCCTATGAATGAGTCAACACCCTTACCTGTGTGTATCTCCCTCCCTCTCTCTCTCTCTCTCTCTCTCTCTCTCTCTCTCTCTCTGTGTGTGTGTATGTGTGTGTTAATGTGTGTATGCATGTGTGTGTGTGTTGGTGATGTTACAAAGAGCCCTGTGTATGCTAGACAAGCATCTGACTCCTGAGCTGTACCCCCAGCTCCACAGGTCTCTTTTGATGGCTGCACAACTCCAGTCGGTACTCCACAGCTAAGCATGCACCTGAAATTCCAGGGTGAGCCACTCTGCTAGCAGTACAGCCTATGTCCATCACAGCCACATACAGACAAATGTTGAGTTTTATGGCAACAAATAACCAACTCTAACCATCAGAGAGGTGCCCAGAAATGAAAAAAGGGGACTTGGTAGGCAAGATAGACCCTACCCCTAACCCTGAGACCACTGAAGAGGAAGCAGCATTCCCACAGGAACCTAAGAGTTCCAAAAGCTGTTTGTAGGAGGCCTCCTCTCTGAAATTTGAGACAGTGCAGCCTTTTGTGTGCCCTGGCAAAAGACAAGGATCCATAAGGTGATTCTGGGAGAACCTACTAGTACAGGAGCCCAAAGCATATGAGCAAGATGCACACACAGTATTGCTACAGCCTGCTGTCTGGTGGGCACAAGGAATACATGTAGGCTGATGATATGGCTGTGTGGGGGCTGGATACCCATGTGTTGGTTCCCTGTACATTGGTTGTTACTCCAGAGAAGGTGTTACTAGGTTCCTAGGTTACCAGTGAAACTAGTCACACACGCCTCCTAGATGAGCATCCTACCTAATTCTAACAGAACCTGGTTCTGTGCCCAGTTTCCATAAAGAAGTGCTTTATCCATCATGGGAAAACTGTCAGCTCTACCTGGGTTGTTTTTAGCAAGACCAGGAGCCAATCTACTTCAGAACCACATGCAGCAGACACAGCAGGCAAGCCAAAGGAATGAATACCCTGAGCTTGCCATCAGCTCCACTATGAGCTGGGTGGAGAAGTCATTTAACCGGCCTGCAAGGTGATCCCTGGGGACCCACTGGATGTATGAGCCTGGGACAAAGGCAGTTACTGCCCCTGAATCAGAATCTGTCTTTCACAAGCCCTCAAGGGTTGGTTTATGTGCACAGTAGAGAAGGGAGTTAAGGTCAACTGTCTGCACCCCCACACACACACCCACATACACACACACACCTACTCTACTAACTAAAGAAGTTTGATTTCATTACCCTTGTATATTTTCAGGTAGGTGGTGTTCGCTCGCACATGCGCACACGTACACACACAAGCATGTTTGTATACACACCCATCACACATGAACACCTTACTCCCTGGGCCGTGCCTGCCCCATCACCTCACTGCTTTCTCTCTCTCTCCTTGCAGCGGACAAGGAAGCTGATGAGTATTACATGAGAAGGAGGCACCTGCCAGACCTTGCAGCCCGTGGTACCCTCCCCCTCAATGTCATCCAGATGTCTCAACAGAAGCCGCTTCCTCGAGAACGGCCACGCAGGCCCATCAGGGCCATGTCCCAGGACAGGGTCTTGTCTCCACATCGGGGATTGCCAGATGAATTTGGCATGCCCTATGACCGCATCTTATCTGATGAACAGCTGCTCTCCACAGAGCGCCTGCACTCCCAGGACCCGTTGCTGTCCCCAGAGAGGACAGCCTTCCCAGAGCAGTCGCTGTCGCGGGCCATCTCTCACACGGACGTCTTTGTGTCCACCCCAGTGCTGGACCGCTACCGCATGACCAAGATGCACTCCCATCCCAGTGCCTCCAATAACTCCTATGCCACCCTGGGCCAGAGCCAGACGGCAGCCAAGCGCCACGCCTTTGCCTCTCGCAGACACAACACGGTGGAGCAGCTGCACTATATCCCGGGCCATCACACCTGCTACACAGCCAGCAAGACCGAAGTGACCGTGTGACCGACAGTGTGGCCAGGGTTGTTTGGCAGAGTCAGGGCAGGACAGAGCAGAGTAGGGCAGGAGCGAGGAGAACAGCATCCCGCCTTGCTCTCCTCCCTTCCCTGGTCCCTCTCCCCCCCTTGAAGCTGGAGGTGGGCTGCCTTTGTCCAGAAAGCCATACTCCCAGGGAGATGGCACCAAATGCCTGGTCCAACAAGCATAGACGCAGGCTCTTTAAAGCTCTTTCTCTCCCAGTATATTCCCCCTGCAGATGAGAAGTGTGGTGAGATCCAAGTCTTTCTCTGAACACCTACACCACTCCTTCAGTCCCTGCCCCACCCCTTCCTGGGGACTCAGCTGCAGGTTGTGGCAGCCAGTGGACCCTCTCCTGAAGGTAATCTGCAGCTGCCTGAGTTTGAACAGCCAGCTGGCTAGAGGGTGCAGTCAGTGGGCTGACCGAATAGGCTACTCGGTCTTCTTCCTTTATCTACAACTGCATCGCAGATATTTCCTAGTGCCTAAAAACTGCCTGCTCGCTCTCAGCCAGAGAGCTGCTGTGTCCATAAGCACAATATGATTCTCTTCCGCCTGCTGGAACTCTGGTCTCTACCGAGTGGCCCTTCCCTCGCTGAGCCCTGCAGCCCAACAACAGGGAGGGTTCCCTTCCTTCAGCTGCTTGGTTACCCCTGCCTTTGTGCTGTGGGGACTGTGCTCTTTCAGCCTTCACTGTTTCTCCTCAAAGCTCTCCGGGGCTTAAGCTCTTGCCCCTAAGAGGCGGCATTAGCCCTTGCCCTTCAGAGAAGAGTAGCGATGGGTTGCCAGGACTTTAGAGGTGCCTCAGCAACCACTTGATTGTCTCCCTACTTCCTCCAGGCCTCGAGTCTGAACTAGGACCTCCTCTCAGGCCTGCCTTCTTCACCTGAGCTCTGCTCCCAGGAGGCACCTGCGGTGGGCAGAGAGCTAGGGTGAGGAGGACCACTGTGATGCCCAGGGTCTCAGGAGCTCACCATTCCCATTTTCTAGGGCTCTGCCTGTTCCCTATCCATGAGCCTCAGGCAGAAGTTTCCAGACACAGACAGAAGAAGCTTAGCTCTCATAAAAGCAGGAGCTCTCTGAGGCGGTTCATGCTGGACCCTGCCCAGTCCTTTCCATCATCTTTGCCCACATCACCCCTTTTCTGTCTAGAACCCTTTCTCTCTGCCTCTGTTTTCTCCCAGACCTATCTCCCCACCTTGCTGCCTGCGGCTTCATTGCTTTCCTCAGACCAGTGGATCCAAGGAACCAAGAGCCATTGGCAGATGCGAATAAGTGATGGTGTCTGAGGATGTTGCTATGGGGACTATTTCAAGCTTTCTTCCTTGCAGGAGTACTTGGCCACATGACAGAGGCACCTTCTGCTCTGTGAAAGGCCCCATTGCCAGCCCATCTCAGCCCCATCTTTGCCTCCAATCTGAAGGTGGACAAGATGTAACCAGCTACTGGGAAACTATCAGTGAGAGCAATCCTGCTTCCTCAACATCAGAAGGAGGAAGACAATGAGACCACACACAGACACACACAGACACAGACACACACAGACACAGACACACAGACACACACACACACACACAGACACACAGACACACAGACACACAGACACACACCCTTCTGAGGGCCAGAGCACCTCTCTGGGACTGGGGAGAATCAGCCCCAGAATGTCTTGTGAAGTGACATAAGAGATAAAACCATTGCTTACCAGACTCCAGCAGCAATGCCCTTACATCAGATTTTTATACCCCACCCCCAGTTTTGCATGGATAGCCCTTAAAATGTGAGGTGGTGAGAAGCTTGTGTCTATCATTTTTAATCCAGCCAAGTCTAGAGAGTCACAGAGAAGTCAGAGGACTGCCTCCCCTTTTTTCTTTCAAGAGCTGTAGGCTATCCTGAGCCCCTTCCCAGAATCCACCCTCTGTGAACAGAACCCAGAAGGATGGAAGCTGGGGTAGTCCTTAGCCTCCCCACTGAGGGTGTGTGCCTGGCACTATGGGGCCAGGAGGCTTCAGACCATTCTGCTTTGTTCCCTGCAAACACATAAACCATCTTAAGGGCTGGTCCCCATGGGTCTATGAGCATTTGTTGCAGAAGGTAAGGCTCACAGGAAGAGAGGAACTCAATCCAAATAGAGAATGGCTCACTTCCAGAAGCAAAGGCATGTCTCACAGCTAGTCCCCAACCCAGCACCCTGTAACTCTCTTTAACCCCTAGCTGGTCCCTTTGAAGGCCTTGTGCTGGTGGGAAGGGGAAAGGACAAGACTGTGGTGGGTGAGAATCCCCTCCTGTGTGTTCGTACATCCCATGGAGAATCTTCCAGACAACAAGTTTTGCAGTCTTTGGGGAACAAGACTTTATCCTAGGATCTTCTCCCAGCCTTGGCTCTGACAAGGTGTCTATCTGTCTAGCTTCCTGTCTGTCTGTCTGTCTGTCTGTCTGTCTGTCTGTCTGTCTCAGGGGTTGTTTGATAAGTTGTTTTCCAAACTATTTCTCATCCCTGCCTTACCCCCATCCAGTATAAAGTACCTGGCATCAGTTACATCAAAAAATTCTAATGGAGTGTTTGCTTCTTCTGAAGGCTTTTCTTCTGCTTCATCCTTGGAAGGAAAAGAATAATAACAGAGATATAACTCTACAAACTACGCTAATCCAGTCGCCCCTCCAAACTCCAGAAAATTGTGTCTTAACTGGGTAATACAGTAACCAACCCCCATCTTCAGCTTTGCATGACTCCATTTCAATTACCTGTAGACAACCATGATCCAGAAATATTTATATTTGTCTTAACTCTTTTGAGAGAGTCCACAATTACGTATCTTTTATTACAGTATATTCTTATAACATGCCCTACTTTATTATTGTCATTCTCTTTCTGTGCCTAATTTACAAATTAAACTTTATTGTATGTGTCTGTATATGAAGAAAAAACACAACACCTATATAGAAAGTGTGGTACTATGTGTTGGGTGTTTCAGGCACCCAATGAGATTGTTGGAGCTTATCCCTCAGTGATAAGGGAAAACCACTAAATCCCATCATCTCATCCATCACTTCAGAACTAGCTAGTCTGTTGCTATATGAAGTCACTTGAGAGTGTCTGGGGCTGGAACCCTGGTCACTGCTTCTAACCCATGCAGGCTGGTGCCCTCTTTCACATAGGATGGGCATAGCCCCCTTATGATAAACACTCATATCCCAAGGAAACCCAAGATATCCCTCTGCATGTTTTCACTGCCCTGGACTTGGGTATGTATAGGTCTCACTTACCCCAAGTGTTCTTTCCTGAAGACCTCTTACCACCCCCATATGTCAACATTCCTTTCTTATTTCCTCCAGTGAACTCTTGTCTCCATAAATTCATGAGTCACAAAAGCTTACCAATAATTCCTTAACCTCCTAAGTGGACTTTAACCATCAGAATTCCCCAGTGTCTCAATGTGTTTCCCTTGAGAAGGTCCAGTCCTTCCACCACTGAAATCGCTCCCCTTCTTTACATTCTTTTCCTGGCTTAACCTCCTATGCCAGTTTCCTCTTGCCTTCCTCTCACTTCTCTCTTCAGTCATCCAGCTTCCTCCAGTACTGATTTCCTTTACCTGGGCCTGCTGAAATCTCTAGTTTTAAGAATTAGAGCTCTTGATGAAAACTGTGAAGACTCTGGCATTCTGCGTTCAAGTCCTTCGTCTGCTTCGTTGGTTTTTTATACTTCCTCACATGGGAAATGATGTCCCAAGGTGTGAGGTCATTGGGCTCCCCACGTCCCTATGATCTCTAAAAGGGGAAGAAGAGAGCTTCCTGATTAGAGGTGCCATGGCCAAAAGATCAGTTTTGGTTCCTGTGGCTACCAGACTCAAGAAGCTCTTGACTAAGACTGCTATTAGCCCAGAGTCTTCTGCTCTGGCCAAAGATTCATCCCCTTTGATGCTTGTAGCTCTTGCTTCTACTCTAACACTCTTCCCTTTGTAGACATCACAGCTTTCCCTTCATCCCAAAGACATGAGGAACTTCCTTGTAAGTCTTCAACTATGAGGAGTAGTCATCCCAACATCTGTGCCACCAAACACAACCCATTGCCTTTGGAGAGTTCTTGACTGCCACCTGCTTCATCCTTCATTCCTTCCACAGATGTCTGTGGACTAAACCCAAGGTCATAGTTTGAAAGGGCTGCCTATCACTTGAACCCTAGAAGGCGCCTTGAGCAGGCACATTGGCCACACATTCCTCTGCCATCCTCTCTGAATCTGGGGAACTTCCAAATAGTTTCACGAGGTTTGCTGTGCTTTAACGGAGTATTTTTAGGGTTCAAGTGTTACTTTTATAAGCAGTGCATTTTAGTGGTAGGTTAAACATGAAATCAAGTCCTTCTGGTCCCTCTCTTTGTTGTCACAAAGAGATGTCATATTAAAGAGAAAAAGGGAAAAAAACAGGACTGAGGATCTAGAAACATAGCTTCTAGTTCTGGCATTTGGTTTCCATCTTGCCATGTGACTATGGGCAAGTCACATCCCAGTGCCTCAGTTTCCTCACTTATAAAATGAGGGGCTTTGGCTAGATGAGCCCCCAAAATTTCATCCAGCTGTTATGCTCTAGGGTTTTCAGTCTCCACACTCCCTTCTCTACATTCATCCCCATTTCAACTGAGCTGTACCCATCATACTGTGCCTGCCCTGTGGTAACATCACCAGACTCTGCACCAGATTTTGGATGAAACCAATGGGCTTGGCATTGTAGCTGAAAGTTAAAACCTGACTGCTCAACAGATCACCAATCATATGTCTCAAAAGCCTCTCGTATAAACATACATAAAATACCTGAGTGTCTGTCGCTGTGAAATTCTGAGTTTGGAGTTTTCATTTTTGATGTTGCCCTTATAGCTGGAGGGAGGTAACTCTACTTTCAAAGAGGGAACAGGCTGAAAGATGGCCCACAAGTCTGACCATGACATTTGGGCATGGAATTTGTATTTAAGGACAAATGGGAAATTTGTTTCATGT